CTCCCCCCCTTCTTCTCCTCCCCCCTCCACTCTCCTGTTTAATTCTGAAGAATAAGTTTATAAAACTTATTGTCGGAAGGTGCTTTAGTTGCTTTCAATAAAGCTATATGATAATGTGCTATACTATAATAATTACACACTATTACACATTCCGTGAATGTGTCAGACTAACATTTCTGTTTGAGCTGTTTGGCCCACTCACCCCTCCATCAAACCTGTTGCAAAACTTCTTCCACTGAGGACACATTTTGTTCAAAAGCCCCACTGGGACAGCTGGCCACCACCCTTGCACCAGTTTTCCCCTTGCCCATAAATTGTCACCCTGCCTGCCGCTTCCGTGAAAAGCAGGGTTCAACTCCACTCCCCTCGCGGCTTTAACAGTGCACCTTCTCACTTGCGGGCGGGAGACGCTGGTCTGTACACAGCTTGGCGCTCTATTAATCGATAAAGCGCCTTTAAGTGCTTTTGATGTAGAAAAAGGGAATAAAACTAATGATTTCAGTAAATAAGACGGGACAAGCCAGCTGTCCTTCGACAAAAATCCGTTTCATGAACTAACCTACCACAAGATGCCCGGGCACAAGCGAATCCTACGCTGTTCAGCGGCGCTTCTGGCGGGGGAAACAGACCTACTAGAGCCGCACGTTCCTCAGCCGAGCCAATCCTGCATTAGCAACTGGGTGGCTTCCCGGGTCTCAGGCGCTGGCCCTTGGGGGTGATTGGTAGAAGGCAGGCCTTGCCCAGGGTTCAGGCAGACAAGGCAGCGACCGCTGGTGCGGACCCATGGGAGGCTTTCTGCCTGCTGCTCAGGCTGGCCATGCGCTGCTCCTCGAAGCTAAGCAGCTTTCTCTGCCTGGACTGGAGAAAACCCGAGGTCGGGACAGCAGCCTAACAAGGAAAACCACCTGGAGCTGGCTGAGGGTCCTCGCCACGAGGACTGAGCAGTCCAGCATCCTCCTAAACCTGGAAGGGAGGAAGACCCCCAGCACTCCATGCCTGACGCTTCCTTGCGGCTCCCCGAGTCACTTGTGCGCCTCCCCGGGGCCGACCCTCCACTGCTGAGCTCCAGCGTTCAGGCCCTCTCTGGCCAGGGACATAAATGCGTCTAGATCGATCGCAAAGCAAGTAACCTCCACTTACCCTTTTCTAAGGAAGGCAGTGGCAGCGGCGGCGGCTTACTCCAGGTTAGATGGTCACCTAAGGCGCAGGCTTAAAGGGAGATGTCTCCGCCACCGCGCAGGCTGTGGCCATTTCCATCTAGCCATCGCTGTGGCGACAGATCAAGAATCCAACTAGGCTTTCAGCACTGCTGGGTTTCTCCCCAGCCCCACCATCTGTTACTTTCCTAAGGACTTATTTACTTGGAAGAATAGCCCCACTGAAGACCGGCTGCCTGCTGAAGAAGCCTGTTTGAATAGCCTGGCCCGTTCTCATTCCTTTCTCTTCCGTTCAGACTGAGCTCTGAAGTCCTAAGTTTTCCACCAATGAGAAAGGTTGCATTAAGTAGGGCTGCAGAAATCTGGAAGACCACTAGATGGCAACCAAGGGGATGTTTTCTCTCTCCCTTTTGCTGCCCTCTAGTTGTTGCCCCCCTTGTCGCAGCCCCATTCATGAGGTCCTTGGGCTCGTTAGTGGGAGAAAAGGTAGCTGAGGTGGCCGCTGGTGGAGCTGCCAGGAAAAGAGAACATCCTAACGCCCTACTACCACCACCACCACCAAGCCGTGGAAGCCCCTGAGTGTCCTCTTTCTCAGCCAGCCTGCTTTGAAGGTTCTTGTCCGAATAAAATTATGGAAAGGGCAAGGCGGTCAATAATGCATAGAATACATAAATGAGCACCGTGAAACTAAGGTGGGGTATGCCCCAAATAAATAATAAGCACCCATGTTTAGGATTACGGCGCATTGCAGCCCCAGGCTAAGGGCTGATTTCCAGGGCCTTCGAGTCCACTCCAAGGACACCGCTAAGAATTGCAGCCCATTTCACATGCTCACTCCCCCACTGCATTCCAAAAGTCTTCGTTCCCTTCAAGATGGACTGTTCCAGCTTCTTTCAATATGAAACTGGGCTCAGGTGCTGGAGACAGTAACCCTGCCTACAGTCTCTGGAGAGCCTTGCCAGCTTCCGAAGAAGCTCCAGGGTTGCTGTTGGAAAGAGTGCCTGGGGAGGGACCCGCCCTCCGGGAACCACACTCAGATGGCACTCGTACCTTAGGTGACATACAGCCAAGGACATTTCGAGCCCACAGATTTCAATGGGGAAGATTAACCAGGATTGCGCCAGTCTCAAACTTCAGGCGCCGGGGCTGCAGTCCTGGGGGGAAAGGTCCAAGGGGCTCCAGCTGCCACTGGCCTGATTTGAGTCAGAACTAAAACGGCAAACAACTCGTGACACCTTCTCTGATTCCAGTCCTCCAAATATGCTAGATTTCCACTCCCAAAGTTCCCAACTGCCGTACTGAAGTCCAGCACACCAGACTGGAGAATTTTGGGATAATAAAGGGTAGCCGGAAGAATATGAGGGCTTTGGTGTGCTACCAAACCTGGTGAGAGGAAACCGTGAGTTGTTTGTCTCTCTGCATTGTCCCAGCGTGCTGTTGGGTTCGGGTTAGCAAGCTGGGGAGCTACAGCTGAGAAACACAGCCAGGGATGAGCCGTGCCCCATTAAGGAAGTTAGAAGCAGAAAAAGATGCAGCCCCTTCCGCGAAGGATGTTATGGCAGACCTTCTTCCGTTCTACGCTCAAAGGCAAATCACTGCAATCCACTGACTAGGAGTCTCAAGAACCACGAAGGGGCACCACTCTCTCTTGTCTCTTGGAGACCAAGCCCCGTTGGCTCAGGGGGCTTTACCGCCACCTGTAGATACAGCACCTCCGAGCCTATCTGAGGGCTTAGCATACTGAGAACTTTCGCCCAGCCAAGCAGAAATGTCTCCGTTTTATATCACGATAAATCCGCTGTCTCTGGCTTGAAGTAGCGCAGACCTTACCTTGGATGCCATACTTGGAAAGAAGGGCCCCTGTTGATGATAGGAAGGATGGATTCACAGAGAATCCCTATTCACGAGAGAAGTAACCCCCAGGCCCCCTTCAGTGATACTTACTCCAGGAAAATGGAAGGTTTCAGCTGAGTTGCTTTTGTGCTTGTTTTATCAGTTACGGTTGTCCTGCCCTCCTCCCAAAAAGACTCTGTGCCTTTCTCGGTTTGACTCTTGGGAGTTAAAAAAAAGAAAAGAAAACGGTAGGGTAGGGTAGGGTTGTTGGAGGGAAGGCCCAGGGTGATCCCTTTCCTTGGTGAGAAGAGAAGAGAAGAGAAGAGAAGAGAAGAGAAGAGAAGAGAAGAGAAGAGAAGAGAAGAGAAGAGAAGAGAAGAGAAGAGAAGAGAAGAGAAGAGAAGAGAAGAGAGAAGACTTTATTGTCAGGATCACAACACAGCACACAGGCTCCAGCCTCTTCCAGAACTTTGCATTAGACGAAACCGCAAAGGACGCAAAAGAAGCGGGAGAGCTGGGAGCCACCCAGGCTGCCTTAAAATGGGAAATGGGATTCCTGCAGGCTTCAGATTAGGCTGGGCTAGGTAATGAGGTGGCTGGAGGGCAGGAGCGCCTTAGCTGTGTTCCTAGGGCTGCTGGAAACCGAAACCAGGCAAGCCCCCCACCCCACCCGCAGCGCGCCCTGTGCTAAAAAAGATAATCCAGTTGCTGCTACTTAGAATCATCCATCTGGATGTACAGACACACATGGTCGAGCAGGCATGCTGAAGTTTGAGGTGGGTTGCTAGTGATCGGATTTGCACGTTGCGCTAAATCATTAGTTTAGCCTGTTATATTAATTCAACCTGTAGTTTATTTGATGAACCATGTCTGAATGGCTTTCTGCCATCTATGGACCCTGCCACTTGGCCGTGGTGTGCTCTACAGAGCTTGAGAGCAAAGCACGAAGAGACGGGTTTTAACCAGGTCCCCTTTTTTTCAAGTAGGCAAAGGTGACAAAAACAAACTGAAAACATATGTCCAAGTAAGTGGGAAGATAATCGTTGATATTTGAAATGTAGGGCACCAATTGAGGCAGATTCTGCTTTGTCTTTATGTGGAAGAAGATGAGCGACATTGCAAAATGCGCAAGGAAAACCTTAATCAGAAAACCTATCCTGATTTACTCACCAGCTACTCGCCCTACTGATTTCAGACTGTGAGCTGGCGTCTTTTACTCAGAAGTCACTTTCTTGTATTTCAGGAAAAGAGTTCTCATGATGAATGCTACCCTAAACACATTCTGTTTAGTGGCCATTTGGGATACTGAGCTCTCACGAGGCTTAGCTGCTCCGCTCAAGGGGCAGAAGGCAAAGGCATGTTCGCAAATCGGTAAGATTCCACTGATTTTCAGGGCAGCACTTTAAGGCGGGGACAGAGAGCCACCGGGTGAAGGCTGCTTGGATCTTGCTCCGAGGTTGTTTCAGTGGTATGGTTTGCTGAATCACAGCCCCATAGGTTTCATGAGAAAAGCCAAGTCTCCTCCAAGTGGAGCGCGCCTCCAGAGTCCTCCTGGGTACGTCCCTGTGCTTTTCCTGGCAAGGATGCAAAAGCGGGTTGCCACTGTTGTTTTCCAGATTTTTTTTTACTTCCGATCTAGCTTATAGCCTTAGGATTTCCTGACCATCTCCCATTCAAATTCTAACCAGGCTCAGCTCTGAATCGATTCGGAGCAGCACAGATGAAGTTGACCCAGTGCTGAGGCACTTAAGGAGAAGATAAAGATGCCAGATCAGAGCCCTCGGCTGCATGCCTCCTTTGAGCCAAATTTCCTTTCCCAACTGCTCGGCAAGCCTCTTGATCCTTAACAGCTTTGCGATTGGACTGGCTTCAGAATATGAACCTTTTGCAGGCTTACCTCGGAGGAAACCCTCTTGAACGCAGCAGGGCCTCTTCGCGAGGAGGCCTGCGGAGAATACGATGGCATTATACATGTCCCAGGAAACGAAAGCACAACACGCCTCAGCCCCATCATTCATAAAATACTTTATTGAAATAAAATCAATATCTTCACGTTAATAAAAACCGGTCGTAAAATGAGTTTGCCAAATAAGTTCGGAGATGGTCCCCCGCTCTTAAACAGCGCAAGAACAGCGACGGGCGAAACCCCAACCCTTCCTCAAGCCCACCCAGAGGGAGCAGCTCTTCCTTAGGTCCGCACCCAGGGAGAGGGCGGCAGGGCTCAGACGCCTAGGAAATCCTACAACGGAATCAACTGGGAATCGGAGTCCACCCCAACCCCACCCCGATCGTCGTCATCTCCTTGCACGTGGCAACTTATTTAAACGGCAGCGAAAGCGGCTGCAAGGCCCTCGGCTTCAGTGGCCCCCTCCTGTCTACACCCAAGGCAGGCGATCCACGGGATGGCATTGCAAGCCGGACGGGCCTCGTCGCTTAGCAAGGCGCGCAAGGCTGAAGTTCAGTCCTCTCGGCCGCAGGTCCCAGGCACCCTTCCAGGCTAAGCCAGGAGGTTTGGGGACCTGCAGTCCAGCATCAGCAATCTGGGTGCTAGACCCTTAGTCCACGGGCTTGCGGCGCTCCGTTATTGCTCCTGGATGACTTGGCAGGGAGAGTCGAGGTTTTCAGCGTGCTGCTTCTCTGCTTCCCGGGCTCGCTCTTGCTCGGTTAGTTGCTCGCTGGTGGGGATGGAGTTTTTCTTCGGGCGACCTTTGGGCTTGGTGGGAGACTCAAGGCCTCCACCTTGCAACACCTGTAAAAAAAATCCACAGTCTGAAGGGAACGAAGGGAAGCAAAGCAAAGGTCTGACTTAACTAAGAGTAGCGCTGGGGAAGAGGGGGAGGCGAGAGAGCAGCCTTGCTGAGAAGGTCGGGAAACTCAACATCACCCTCACCCGCCCCCCAGCAATCATGGCCAATGAAAAGACATCAGAGCTGCTTGGCCTGTGCAGCGGTCAACCAGCCGCCTGGCCCCTACAGTATTTCTGTCTGCTGGCTTTTGTGGGGAAGGTTCCTACGGGTTGATCTAGAGCTTGAAAAGCAAATACTCAGCTGATCAGCCTCCCCCCCCCCCCCCCC